TGGGCTTTGTAAGATTGGAACAAGGAAACCGGACAGTCTGTTTCTGCGTGCGGCAGCAGAAGGCTCTTCCAACAGGGGCTCAGAGAGACTGCAACCCCTGTATTCATTGGAAAGTTTTGTTTTCATATCTTTCTCTTTGTTTTACTTACAGTTTTATTTTGTGGCATTGAGCACGAGTGACCAAACCTGGTTTGGTTTGGTCTGGTCTACTTCAGGAGCTCATTCTAGAAGAAAGCCATTCATAAATGGCAGTGCCACAGACCCACCTGGAGGTCTGCGTGCTCTGCTCCCCTTTGCTGTTATTTCTGCTTGGGCAAGTGGTATGAGCTCTATTCATCGCTGCCTCGGCCCCTCAGTCTTATTTGTTTTCATAATTTGTGTACACCTCTTTTCTGGAATATTTTACTTTTTTGCAAGCCTTTACTTTTCAGACACAATAATGACCACATTGTAAAGATTTTCTAAGATCTTAACAAAAGAGAAAGTTAGTCTAGCCACATTTTTACCAGTTGCACAGAAATTCTTGAAGCAAAGATTTCTGACTATTCAGTTGGTTGTTTCAAAAATTACCACCTTGCTGAAGAAATCCTTGAGTAGATTATGCTGATATCTTGGCTCTTTCTACAAACCTGCATTTTCCATTTAAAAATAGATTCTCATAAAAACCATTAGGAGGAAATTGTAAGAGTGTAAATGAGGCAAAAGGAGTGGACTCTTATTCAGTGCTCAGTGAAGATTTGGAGGTGTGCATGTCTGATGGAAGACAGTGGGAGCCCCTATAATGGGTTGTAGAGTTGGGCCATTTGGCAGACTGATGATACAGATTGGGGGCAGTCATGAGCACCTGTGGCGTGCATCTGACGTCTCCATAAACAGAGGGCTTTCCATGAGCACCTGTGGCGTGCATCTGACGTCTCCATAAACAGAGGGCTTTCCTTTTTACCCATCTCAGCATTTCTTCCTGTCAGTAATATGAAGCGGAGGGGAAGGTTTTCCATCATTCCTTCGTGTCTACCGCAATTCATGCTGTGTGATTGAAACCGTTACAGCACCTTATGAAAGGATGAAGTTAACCAGCTCGATTGCCACTCTCTCTGTAGAAGTCCTGCTCACAGATGTGTGTGTGAATCAACCAGATCGCAGATCGCAGGCTAGAACTGTATTTTGTAACAGTTAAACAAAAGCTAGCTTTTCGGTTAAGTTTCTCAGTCTCAAGAATATTGAAGGGTTGAATGAAAAATTCCCGTGGTGAGGAAGGGAAAAAAAGGCGGGGAGAAGAGTAACTTAAAGAGTAAGAGGAGAGACAAGAAGAGAGACAAATGGAGAAATTTATAGTTTAACAGATTCTTTAGAACGATACTTAACATAAAATTAGACAGATTTTCACCTATCTCTGTTTTTCTTCTAGAATGTGTGTGTACATGTGTGTGTGTGTGTGTGTATATATATGGAATAAATATGTGTCCTGTTGTACTTGGAACAGACACAGACACACACACACACACACACACACACCCCTCCACTCCTAGCATTTATGATGAATTTCTTTGCAGGAATTTGTGGTCTAAGTACAGCAACCACTTATTGAGAACCTACTGTGTGTGCAGGTCTGTGAACACACTGAAGTGACACAGATGCATAAGTTCATAAATTAACTAAAACATGAGGCTCCAACAGAATGGGAACTTAGAGACTCTCAAGACAGCCTCCTAGACAGGACAGTGTGGTGTTTGAAAACCGTCAGTTACTTATAAACCAAAACCAGTCCTCTCAAAGCCCCACCCCTTCTTGTAAGTTAAAACCTGTGATGCCCTTTAACGTTATCATAATTAAAATAATTGCAGTTTCTGTAATAACTGGCTGTACTTATACCACATAAGTTAATTTGTGCCTCTTTATCAGCCATCCATCCTCCTCCAGCCTTGCTATTATTTGGGGCAGGCATATTCCTGTTTTCAAGAAAAATGTTTTATTTCAAATAACAGTGAGGTTTTAGGGTTATTTTGGGGGTGGGGTGGGGAGGGAATGAGAATTAGAAAAAATATTACGTATTACATATTTCTTTAAATGCTTACTTTTCCTAACATTTATCAGCATTTGTAAGCCAGGTTTTTATAGCCTTAGACATTTCTTTTACCTGCCTTAAATATTTACTTGTATTACTTGTGTAAAAATTTTAAATTATTTGATTTATAACCAAGTTTTTTGAGCTGACCTTTTTAAGGCCTCAGGTATATACTCATAAGTATTTTAAGGACTTTTGAAAATTATACTTTAAAAACTGTGGAATGCTCTTCTGATCTCTACATGAATGCCTTGGACATTCATATTGGATGCCTTGTTTATGTCAGGGGCTGCGCCATGCCATAGTAGCCTTTAAAATGTAGAGTGAAGTATGGATGAGTGCATTCTTTGTAACCTGATTTTCACTACAAGGGCAACCTGTAAAAAGGGACTGGTAATGCCAGCTCACACCATTAAAGTGAAACATGAAGTCCCAGTGAAACCCAGCCTGTGCCTGATGCTCGCACTAAAGCTGGAATTGGAGGAAACGCCAGTGCTCCCTGGCTACAGGATTTTCAGGATTAAACAGCCATTGTTGAGAGCTTGGGAGGCTGAACAACATTTCCCAAGTATTTCCTGGGTGAATTTTACCTTTTCTTCCAAACAAGTGGCTTAAAATGAATTTGGGAGCTGGATATTTTGAGGAGGCAGCCAAGCTTTTGTTTGACCCTCATGGTTTCTGCCGCCGCCCTCTGAAGACTTGGGAGCACTGCGGCTTCCAGAGTTAGTGATACATCTTTTTCATGAATAATTTAGATCTCTGAGTGACAATTCATTTTTTTTTTAAAGTAATGTACTCATACTACCATCTCTAACGTAAATCCATCAGTGTGAAATGAAACCTGAAAGAGGTGTGTTTCTGTTTTACAATTTTAATGATTTTTATGAATTGGAGAATTGGAGATATGGTTTTCCTTTTTTTTTTTTTTTTTTTTTTTTTACACATTGTTTCTTTTAAAATATTGTGGAAGTACTATTTTACTTTTGAGGACAAGAATGGTGGCTTATTTGTAGTTTTCAGCCAGTAGGCTAATAGATTCAGAAGGGTTCATTTATGGCAGCTGCCGTCCAAATTTTCATGTTAAGTTGCCATTTTGTGACATCGAGGACATGCTATTCGGTTATTTCCAGTGGATCGGTGACTCCCTGGAGCCTCTTACGGCTTTTTTTTTTTTTTTTTTTTGGGGGGGGGCTACATCTGGTGTGACACATTGTCTCCCAAAAAGGCCCTTCAGCCTGATAAATAACACCAGCCCTTCTCACCCTGAGACAATGAAGCAGAAGGATTGCAGCTCAGGGGGCATCAATCCCACCCCTGTCACAGCAGATCCTGACAGTTGTGTCCCCTCCCAGTGAGCCTGGCACTCAGGGTCCCCTCTGCCCCTCTCTTTGTTGATGGACAGCTGTTCTTTGTCTCCCTCTGCTTGGCTGTGTTCATTGTCTGGGTCTGCTGTCTCAGTAGCACCTTGGGTGCTGGTGTTCTTTCTTTGTCTGAAGTGTAAGCCTTATTCAAATGATGGCTTTACATTTCATCTAAACAACAGACACACTGACTCTGAGAATGGTCTTTGCCTCCTGGGAACTCATGCTCAATTCCTGGCTAGCCTTCCTTTGTGTTCTCCATTAATTTCCATGTCATTTGGTCCTGGAAATACTTATTTGTGGAGTATTTTGTGTTTAATGGATTTTCTGATTGTTTAGAGCAATTTGGAGGCCCCTCTACAACTAGATTCCTGTTCTTTATTTGGCAGTAGACAAAGGGAATTTATTGTGAGGGTACTGGATAAAGTCAGATGGCTTGGGACACTCTGGTTATTAAGGAAGGGATCTAATAGATGAGAATGGATGTTCTGAAGTTGTTGAGTGCATCGTAGTTATCAACAGCAACCCTCGTAGTAAGACATTAAGGTAGAGCTAGCTGGCTCCTTCCCCCCGTATTCACCTCTCCTTCCCTTTTTTATTTTTTCCTCTCCTTACTAAATTAACAGTTTTTATTACAAACTTGTTCTTAGTGCCAACTATATGAACATAAAGAGGAGGGCATGTGTATGTGAGAGTTTTTCTTAGCAAATACAGAATCATGTATTGCTAGTCGGGTGAATTCATTCATGGAAGATTCATGTTGTTTGAGGACAGTTAGGTTCTGATTATGCCCTTGAAAACTCTTAGGAGCCTGATCCTTAGAGTCAGGGTCCTGGGCTGAAGTGTGGATCTCATTCTAGGGCTCAGCTTTTTCATGAACAAAATGGGAATAACAGTGCCTGCATATAGACTGGTTGGATTAAATGCATTTTGTCTTTAAGAAAGCATTGGAACCATGATGTCAATTTGAATGTTCTGGGGTGTGGCCCTGGGCGGCTATAGGTAGTGATTATGTAGTAGTCTGCACTGGAGTAGAGAGGCAGTGGTTTTGTGGTGGTGGTAATGGTGCATCGGGGTTGTAACTGACTTGGTATTCTCAGTCAGTGGACTGGGTACCTGGCTGGAGGGTGGATGGGGAAGTGTGCTAATGGTGTGGAGTTGCTGATCAGGTCATTGAAGAATTACTGAAAAAGGACGGTGTTGATGGTCACTCAACTTTATCAATATATTTAATGTCACTGGATAAAAAAAAAATAAAACAACAGATTGATGCTTGCCTTAGCACCTTACATGTCTTATGGCTGGGGGGTTTAATGGAACAGTGCTTGCCTCACATATACAAACTACCGGGTTTGATCCCCAGCACTGAAAATGTTTTTCCCTAAGCTGGGCTTATACCTCTGGTGCAAGGATTTAGGAGGCTGAGGCAGGGGGGTGGGGGCATTGTCATGAGTTTGAGACTAGCTTGAGTTACATAATAAGTTCTAGCCCAGCCTGGTCTACGGGACCCTGCCTCAAAACAAAGTTTTAAAGCTGTTATACTGTACATGCTCAAAACCTTTTACTCTTCACAGTGACGGGGTATCATGTATGCTGCTGGTTCCAGGGGACACTCCCCTGCTTTCCTGCAACCTCAGAACGGAAACGGCCATCGCTCGCCTGGTTACGTTCCTGGGAAGGTGGTTCCCTTACGTCCTGCTCCTCCGCCAAAGAACCACACCTCAGCCAAACTGACCTCCAGGAGCCAGGAAGCCCCAGCAACTTTTGCTTTCTCCTCGGAGGAGCAGCGAACGCCGAGGGAGAACCGAAAGCAGAAGACACACAAGAACACCTTCATCTGCTTTGCCATAACCAGCTTTTCCTTTTTTGTGGCACTTGCAGTCATTTTGGGAATATCCTCAAAATATGCTCCAGATGGTATGTGCTGCATGTGTGTGCGAATGTATGTGTGCACAAATATAGAGCATAGTCTAAAAGAAGAGCTAAGGGGGAGGAAGTTGAATACTTTAAAGAGAAAAAAAAATCTTCTGTTGCTAAGGCTGGTTCTAGCCACCCAGTGCACAGGTAGGATGAGGCATAGCTTCTTTGGAATGACAACAGTTGTTTGAGGAATCTGTGGGAAATTGTAAATGGAAAGGCTTGGCTTTCTTCCTCCCTCCCCCCGCCCCCCCCCCCCGCCTTTTTTTCCTCTCACTGTGTTTCAGGGCCCAAGTTGTTCTTGGAGCATCTCTTAATGCTCTCCACAGTTTTTACTAATTCCCATGGGAGTGCAGGATCGTAATTTTTTTGGAGCTGTGAATTTTTGGGTCACAGAAAAGTTTGTTTGGTCATACATGCAGTGATAAAGTTAATGTAATTTAGAAACAAACAAGTGACTAAAAAAGAACTGTTTTGTGCTTTGAGACAGGCTTGATACACAGTGCAAAAAAAGTTTTAAATACTTTATAGAGTTATGGAGTGTTCCTTTCAGAAACTTCTGTCCAGCTGTATGACTTGATTCATTTCTCTAGTCCCAACCACTTTGTTCATAGTTGTGTAGGGAGCTTTAATTTCTCAAATGATATTTGCCAGTCGAGAAGCCAGCTCAGAAACTTAATGATCAGTGCTGAGGAGATAATTCAGTTGGTGAGAAACGGAGTTTAGTTCCTACCACCTGTGTGGGGCAGGAATTGCCGCCCGGAACAGTAGGGGCTCCAATGGCCTCTTCTGCTCTCCTTGGACACCAGCCATACTTTCACAAACATGCAAGGAAAAGTTAAAAACAAAAAGACCTTAGAAGACAAAGCAAAAACAAAACTGGGTTTGGTCATCCCTGTGCTTGTGATCCCCGTGCTGAGAAGGTGGGAACAGGAGGATTCCTGAGTCTGAATGGAGCCAGCCTAGCTCGACTGAGGAGTGACTGTCTGGGTTACTCTCATGCCTCCGTATGCTTGTATTACTCACTCCTCACTCCTTAGACAGACACACATACACGCACACACGGACACGGAGAGAAAATTTAAAGGTAGTAAATTTACTTTGATTAGTTTTGGAGAAATATATTACACCCTCAATATATTTTCAGCAAACAATAGCTTTATAGATGGGCCCATGGACCGGTCTAAAACTCAGAGGCTCTGGGGCTGTGACATAGAAGACTAGACCATTACCACCTGGATTGAGCATGCTTTTATCTTTTGTTATTTTTTGAACAAAGTATACAGATTTTTGTCTGAGTAGATGCCTCCTTAACTGGATATAACAGCATAGCAGTTGAGGTCCTTTGGCCTTATAAAACTCACAAATATTATTTTAAATTGGTACTTTAGGGATTTTGTAAATTTTAAGGTCCTGGAAGAAAGTGGTTACCAGCATCTCTAAGAGAATACCCGGAGAGTAAGGGAGATGAGCCTGTCCACATCTTTGTTGACTGAGCCAGTTGGCCACACGATGAATTTATTTGATTTTCCTTGCAAGTGGTGTTGACTTTCTATTCCCAGTTCCAAACACAATAACCAAGTTCTGATTCACATTTTCCACATAAGCTTCAGGAAAGGGAAGGCAGACTAGTGGGAAATCAGAACTGAAATCTGTGGCTTTCCCTGGTATTTTCTTGGTCCATCTGAAACACTGGGCTGCAGATTTGGTTCCTTGAGTCGGTGTTCTTTGGTTTCACATGTTGGCAGTGCAAGTGCAGATAATCGCTGGAAACGTCTAGTGCCCTGAAATGTTTTATGGGCGGCCTCATTGTGGTTTTGGCTGTTACAAAAGTGCTCACTCCACAAGTGGGCTAGCCTGGGAGATGGGGCTGGCTGAACTGATTTTTAATGATTTCTGCACATCAGACATTTTCTCACTGAAGTACATTTTACTGGAAGGAACCACTCAGGATCTTTTGTGTGTGTGTGTGTGTGTGTGTGTGTGTGATGGTTCTAATGAAGTGTGCTCTCTAGGAATTGATTACAAGCAATTAAGAGGAATTGCATAACTATTACAAGAGGCTCCAGGTCTCTACAGAATGGAATTCCTTCTCAGTAGCTTGTGACACAGGGCACACAACTGCTTCTTCTCCAACACTATGGAGAAATCCAGCTGTATGTTTTATGAGGAAATAGAGAGGCTGAAGAGAAGTAATTTTGTATCTTGTAGTGCTGGGGATGGAACCCTGGGCTTTGTCAGTGCTAAGCAGGTTAGTAGTCCTAGTGAGCCACACCACTAGCCCTGAAGATTGCCTTTAGCATAATGATAATGATCACTGAATAATGTGAGAAGTTAAATATTAATTATGAATCTGGTAGCAGGAAAATCAACCCATCAAAGAGTTTCCAAGGCCTTAGTGAGACTAATTTAATTCGGTTGCTCTCACTTCAAAGTGGCAGCATAGGCTACTTAAATGCTTAGAAATAGGCAGGTAACCTATTGGGTATGCAGGTTCAAAATGGAAACTTAGAAGGCTTTTCTTCTTTATCAGAAGTCTCTGCTTTCACACAGGAGCCTTCAACCCCAACACAGTCTATCTTCTTCTTATCCCCAAGCACATGCCATTCATTCCTACCTTTGCCTAATTTAAATACAGGTGCTTAATTTAACTATAGGTGACTTGAGTAACAAATGGATTAGGATGGTGGGGGAGATGTATATTTCTTCTATTCTTTTAAAAGTAGGTTTATTTTTATTGTTTTTATTAATGTATATGTGTCTATCTGTCTGTGTGAGTGAATGACACATGTGTGTTGATCACAGAGGCCAGTGGGATGTTGGGTCCCTTTCAGTGAGTTGTGACCTAGCCGCCAGGGGTTGCATACCAAACTCAGGTCATTTGCTAAAGCAGTGCCTGCTCTTAAGCATTGTTCATTGTTTTCTCTCCCAGCCCCAATATTTCTTATTTTCTTCTCTTCATGTTCCTCTTATTTAAATACTATCTATCCTTTGATGTCTGAATCTATGAAGCTATCTCAGTAACTACAGCTTTTTTTTTTTTTTTCCTTTGTCTGAGAACACTTGTACCTAAACTAAGGACCACATTATTTATCTCTTAATGATTTTATACATGATAACTTTTCCCCCCAGGCTAATATATAGACTTGCAGGAATATTCCCCTCCCATTTATATTTTACAAAATACATGGTATCTTTTAAAGAATAGACAAAATGATCTTTGGCAAATCCTGAGTTATTTGTTGATCAAAAGTGAAGCTGTGATTTCTCTTTCTCCTATAAATATTTTATGCACAGACAGCTGTCATTTTATTATCAACTATTTAAGAGGCAAGTTACAGTTCTATTAAAGGAAGATTACAAGTAACAGACCCTATTTCTTCAGGCGGAACTTCCATGTCACTCAAATTGCTAACTAATCGTTGTGTATTGGCTTCTGTAAGACATTACTCCATAATTTCATCTCTGAAAATGAGAAGTCATGGTTTTGGCCACTTGCAGTCTGTAGTTTTGTTGGGAAAGTGTGTATATAGGGAGAGAGGTGCTGTTACTGACAACTTTCTGATTCACTGTGCTTATGAAGGAACCGGTGGATATCTAACATACATGTTAGAAATTTCTATAATTCATGTTGCCATTAGTTAAGGTGTTTTGTGAGAGAAAGAGAGGGGGTGAGAGAAAATTGTGTGTGTGTGTGTGTATGTGAAAGATGATGGGAATCAAATCCAGAATCTCAGGCATGATAAGCTAGTACTATACCAGTGACCTTCCTTGCCAGCCTGTTATTTTCCTTTTAAAACATCTTTACAGTGTGGTTCCAAGAGAAATTCATTACTTACTGCTCTGTTGTTTATTTCCAAAAGGAGTAGTCAGGGGAACTTCATTTTTATCTTGTGAAATATGACCTGAAGTGGGGACTCATGACTTAATTTTGTGCTAACTTTTTTTGTTGTTGTTGTTTAATATATTGAAGTAGAGAATTGATACTTCTCCTGTTTGGGAAGGGGTGGGTCTTTCATTCCAGTGGCAGGAAATCAGTGCCTCTGTACCTTTTATGCAGGTCTGTGTTTAGTGACAGTAATTCTTGGGCTTAGCTGGTCTTTTGGTTTTCTTGCACTTTGTTAGACTGGATTCTATATCAGGGTTGTGTTGTTTTGTAGAGAATTGTCCAGATCAAAACCCTCGTCTCAGGAACTGGGATCCAGGACAAGATTCTTCAAAGCACGTTATTATCAAGGACGGAGATATGTTCCGCCTGACCTCAGATGCTACAGTGAACTCTATAGTCATTCAGGATGGAGGTAGGTACTGGTCCCTGTCTCTGCGAGCCACATGGCTGCTCTGTAAGGTGGAGGACATTTGTTGTTCCCATATAGCGTATCTGTGGTAGACTTCATTCAAAAAAGAAAAACATAAGACAGTGGGATGCCCAATTATTTTCTTATTGCTGGGATTAAGAGCTTTACTGAGTGGCTTAAGAGAGGAATTTATTTTGAGGGTGCAGTCCCCAATGGCAGGACAGGCATGGACTCTGGTGTGTCTTCCTCTGAGGAGCTTGCAGCTGGTCACATCATGGTAGCATCCAGGAAGCATCTGAGATTGGAATGGTGTGGGGGGGAGGGGTTGTCATCCTTATGGGCCACCCCGAGGGACCAACATCTACTAGCTAGAACACAGTTCCAAAGGTTTAAGCAGTATTGTTCCTTTCAGGACTGCTTGTGTTTGGGGATGACAAAGATGGATCCAGAAACATAACCTTGAGGACTCGATACATCCTGATCCAGGATGGTGGGGCGCTTCATATTGGAGCAGAAAAATGCCGCTATAGATCCAAAGCGACAATTACCTTGTATGGCAAGTCAGATGAGGGTGAAAGTATGCCAACATTTGGCAAAAAGTTTATTGGCGTGGAGGCTGGTGGGACGCTGGAGTTACACGGGGCATGGAGGACATCATGGACGATGCTGGCGAGGACTCTGCATTCCTCAGGCTTGCTTTTTGGCTCCTATGTCTTTGAAAAGGACTTTTCCCGGGGCCTTAATGTGAGGGTCATTGACCAAGACACAGCCAGAGTTTTGGAATATGAGAAGTTTGATACCCATGAGTACCACAATGAGAGCAGGAGACTTCAGGAATTTTTGAGAGCTCAGGATCCCGGGCGGATTGTTGCTATTGCTGTTGGAGATTCAGCAGTGAAGAGCCTGTTACAGGGAACGATCCAGATGATCCAGGACCGGTTGGGAAGTAAGCTGATTCAAGGGCTGGGCTACAGGTAGGTAGACTAGTTCTTCTCTTCCAAGCTCTGTGTTAAGAGTCTATTTCGTGTGAAAGCAGAGAACCACAGGCAGTTGTGGCTAATTTAGCTGGCTGCATGGCTGCTCTATTAAAGGCCTTTTTTTTTTTTTCTTTACATCGATCCATTAGCTTGCCTCTTGTTTGAACTGTGCATTTAACTACTAGATGTACACAGAAGGGTCTTGGCTTTGATTTATGAAGCCCTTTGTGGATTGTTCCTAAGGCCAGTGGAAAGCACAGAGATGCAGTTCTGTAAAACAATGGGCAGTGTGAAGATAACTTGTCTTTGAAGAGACTTCCTCTTACCATTATCTTCTGAGCATAATGAAATGAAGATACTAAAGCCTTGGCTTAATGGAGACAGCTGAGGAGCTTGAAAAGTTAGGGCACAGTTCCATGGAAAGCCTGCCATAAAAGCCCTAAGGGGTAGGCATGCTTAGGTTTCTTTTTCTTCCTCTTTTGGAATCTTTTGCATGCTAATTTTATTGGAATCCTTCACATGCTAGTTTGAGCCCACTTGCTTCATTGGCTCAGGTCTGTCCAATTCTGGCACAGGAGAGGCAGCCAAAAGTTGAGCTAGGCTCATCATTCTTGTAGAAGTCATTTCTGCTCTTAGTTTCTGTACTAATCAACCTTGGTTTCCTAATTCTGTCTGGAGGTAGAGGGAAGTAACTGGCTCACCATGTAATTTAAAAAAAAGAAAAGAAAACAGAAACCTGACTTTGTAATCCTGCTGAATTTTTTTAGGATCGTAGGGAAGTGTCTGCAGTGACGGAGAAAAGAAGACCTTACTTCCTACCGAACCAACACTTAGACTCTTCTATGAGGCGCAATGTTATCTGTAGAAATTCTTGAAGATATTAGTGAAGGAAAGGGATCTTTTATGATCTTGGATTGCTGTTTATTCACTTCTTCTTATGAGATGTCGAAACACAAGAAGGAAAACCAACAGCCAAAAACTGGCATGGGGGACAATAAGTAGGTGTTTCAGAGGTAGGAGGCCTGCAGGAACTTGAGGGGTGTGCTGTAGAGGTAGCCATGAGTGATGTCTCGACAAAAGATAACACAAGCGAAGCCTCAGAGAGTTTGCACTGATAATGCACAAATGGGAGAGGGCTAAAATAGGAAGGCAAAGCTTAAAGATAGATTACAAGGTGATTGCTGTGTAGTCACCACCCAGGACTGGAAACAAAACATCGCCCCTACCATTACCTCTCACCACCCATGCACTAATCATTCCTTCCATCTCCAAAGACAAAGCATTCTCCTGAATTACGGACCACACTAAGGTTTGGGTCAGTCCCTTTTTGAGCTTCATATAAATGATAACAGACTAGATAGTTTTTGGCTGGCTATTTTGTTCACATTATTGGACATACTACCACACATAGGGACAGGGTCTCACTGTGTAGCTCTGGCTGTCCTAGAACTCACTATGTAAATGGGGCTGGCCTTAAACTCACAGACCCACCTGCCTCTGCCTCCAGAGTGCTGGGATTGAAGGTGTGCCCTGGCTTCTGCCATTGTTTATTTCCTGTCGAGTGAATAAACTACAGTTTCTGCATATATCAGAATGGCTTTCCAGCCTGGACCTATTTTAAGATGTGATTCTATAACTGTGTATGCCTTTACTCATCCACTGATGTGCTTATGCATGTATTCCTATGATGGAAACATAGGGAAAAAGGCCAAGGAGTGGAAACATGTTCTTGGCAAAGTTAGATGCCCTTTCAGTAACTGTGCAGGAAAGATTTACTTTTGGTTGAGAGTTGGAGAGATTTCTGTCCATGGTCACTTGGTCCCGTGGCTTTAGGCCTGTGGCAAGGTAGAGAACATCACAGTCATGATAGTGGGTAAAGCTGCTTACCCTGTGGTGCCTAGGATGCATAGCAAGAAGAGGAGTCCTGTCAGAGTATACCACCTCTGGCTCAGCTTCTTTCTGTTAAGCCTAAGCTCTTAAACACGCATTAGTGAGTATGCCCACAGAGGCCAGAAGGGGTCATAGATCCCATGGAGCTAGGTTGTGAGCCACCTCACATGGGTGCAGGGTACTGAAGACTGGTCATCTGGAAGAGGAGCCAATGCTATTAGCTTCTATTCAGCCTTTAGCTGGCTGCCCCCGCCTTCCTCCCACCTCTTAAAGGTTCTAGTACTGGAGCGCCTCCTTTGTTTCCTCATGCAGTGGTGGCGGCTTCTGTTCCTCCATGTCATCATTGCTTCTGTTATGTCACCATTGGCCTTAACTGTTTCCACTTTGCTTCTTCCCTCTGCTGAACTGCTCTCTAAATTCCGTTTCAAATATCACTACTTATTTAATGGAGAAGTTAGACTGGTATTCACCAGCCTTCCATTGTATTGACATTATCTCGTGTTGATAATTAGTCACTCCTTTGAAGACTGTTCTAGTGCACTGAAATTTCCCACACATGGAGGAGGGAAGTGGGAGTATGCTTGAGATAATGTTCATAGAACAGAACATTGTTTGCGTGTTGCTGAGGCAGTTCTGGGCAGTAAAGGGAGCGTCCAGCATTCTTCCTCTTCTCTCTACTGGGAGATAATAGTGGAGACGCTCTTTGTTTGATCCTTTCTGCTGTATCAAGGGATATAAACAGCTCTGACTGGATTTCAGCCCCTAATCCTCACAGAAGCAGCTGTGGGACTTGGAAAGCTGAAGGCTTGCTTTACTGAACTTTTATCTCTGAGTATCTAGCCATCTGTCTGGCGCAGATTACATTTAGTTTTTTTTTTTTTTTTTTTCAAAAGTAGGAAGTTCACATTTTTCTTTTCATGTTTTCAAGCAGCAGGCTTAAGACAAACTTCCTGGCTTTTTTGTTATTGTTGCTATATATTTTTTTTCTTTGACAAACTTTGGACACAAGCTTGGACAAGTCCATCCGATATTTGTTATTGTCCAAGTCATATGGCATTTTAAAACACATTGCTTTCTACAGGTGATCCTTTATAAAACTGAAAATCTGTTGGAAAGCAATTCTGTGACTTTAAGGATGTTTAGAAACTTCCAACTCAGTGATTCTCAACCTTCCCTAAATACACAGACATTAAAAACTGTTAAATGTCTAGGGTGTCCCAGATTAGGTTTTCAAAAGGTAGGACCCCAGTCATAGAGTGATGATTGCTGTTGTAATCTTCGATCTCTAGATTAGGTGTGTGTGTGTGTGTGTGTGTGTGTGTGTGTGTGTGTGTGTGTGTGTACCTACCCTTGGACAACCTTTAGTGTGTCTCTCAATTGCTCTATACCTCATTCCTTGAGACAGGAACTTCCACTGAACCTGGAACTGATGGATTTGGCTTGGCTAGCTAGCCAGTAAGTTATAGTGATCTGTCCATGTCTGCCTCTGGGCACTAGGATCACAGATGTGTGCCACTGGCCCCTCCCTTTTATGAGGTGCTGGGAAACTGAGGGCTTTATGCTTTTCCAGAAGGTTCTCCACTGACTAAGCCCTCTCCCTAGACTCTAAGGGTTCTTCTCAGAGTAGGCATAGTAGTAGCATCATTTAGCATCACTGGGGAATATGTGGATTCTTTGATCCTCTGATTCTCAGGCTGTGCTGGTAGGGGAGTGCACCAGAGAACCGACTTAACAGTTTTTCCTTCAAGGGTTGGGAGCCACTATTTAACTCAGTGTTGAGTTGATCTACCTGTACATTCAGGTACCCTCCTTGATCCCCAGCCCTAACTTTTAAGGTTTTTAGGCCATGTTTTCTATTGTTAGTAGTATAATGAAAGCAGCCTAACAAAAATAAAACAAAGTAAAAAGCTAGGTATGACGGCAGTCCCAGCACTGTGGCTGTGGAGGCCAGAGGGTCAGGAATTTAAGATCATACTCTTCACTACGTCATACATTCAGAGCTAGCTTTGCTTACCCCGGACCTGGTCTGAAAAAAAAAAAAAAGAACTACCAAACACTACAAGAGAGCAGAGGACAGTCATTTTAGGAGACATGAGGGATTTATGGTTAGAGTGACACATGCTCATGTGTGTGATGTGTCCAGGAAGTCCGTGATTAACTAGAGCTAGTCATCATTCTTTCACCTGTGAGAGAGCTGGAGAAGCAAGTTTTTGAAAATCAGGTGCATTTGCTTCCTTGCGGTCAGCTACTTTTAACAAAAGCCTAGAACTGCAGGCTCATGGGAAAAGTGAAAAATGAAATACAGATGTTGAACACCAGCCTACCACCATATCCGTGTCTGAGATCTGGGTCATGCCTATGACAAATAACCAGATGTGCTTGCTGTTTTTCCCTTATAGGCAAGCTTGGGCTTTAGTTGGTGTCATCGATGGTGGAAGTTCTTCCTGCAATGAGTCTGTGAAAAACTATGAGAACCATAGTACTGGCGGGAAGGCCCTGGCTCAAGGAGAATTTTATACCTTGGATGGTCAGAAGTTCTCTGTGACAGCCTATAGTGAATGGATTGAAGGTAGGTAGGCCAAGGTGGTTTCAACTCTATGACAGATGGCTGTAGGGCATTACTGTGTCCAAACGTCAGTCTTTCTTGGTGGATTTGTTGGCTGGTTGAATTTGAAAATGATTTCCCTACTAAACTGGTCTTGTTGACTTAAGAAATCTAGAGTAGCTACTGATCTATTTTAGTTTGGGCAACATGCCTTGGACTGTGTTCTTGATGCTGAGTCATAATGTCTGATTAAGTAGTGTGCTGGTCAGCCTTGCTTGTCAGCTTCATGAGTTCTACTCAGACATGTGGGTGGATGAGGAATTATCTTGCAAGGTTTATTAAAGTGAGACCTTCCCACTGTGGGTGGCACCTTCCCTGTCCAGTATAAAAAGGAGAAAGTACACTAAGCCTGGGATCCATCTTTCTCTCTTTCTCCGCATGCGGGCACAGTGTGACCGGTGGCCTGTGTCCCTGCTACCTTGTCTTCCTCACCATAGTGGAGTGTACCCTCAAACTGTGAGAGAAACCCAACCTCTCCCCACATTGCTCTTGTTAGGGAATTTTATTAGAGCAACAGAAAAGTCATTAGGATAAGTAAAGAAAATGGTTTCAGTCCTTGGCTTTGACCAGTAAAGCCATGTGAGTGCTTGTGACTCAACGTAATGATGTGCTTAGGTTCTTTTAGGCAGATGTGCCAGCAAATGCTACCTTTGGCCACATGCAGAGCAAAACAAAAATCCTCACCTTGTTACTTAGTTCTGTCCCATATTATCATGTTGTCTTGTCCTGATAATCTACATAAATATTTATCTTATGGAAAAATGGGAAATACAGAAGCAATACAAAATAAAAATTAATTTTGACCATGTTTTCAGAGATTTTTTTTCCAGCTCACAATATTATAGGATTTTAAAATGTTATCTGTTCCTTGTTTTCTACTTTTTGATCTGTTTTTCCTAAATCAGTTGTTTTTAAGAGCAAAGGGCTTTGTTTGTTTCTGTATCATGTGAGTGTATGAACGCCTGTGCGTATGTGTGCACACCCAATAAATATGTACACGGTGCTTGAGGGTGCTAGAGACGTCAGATATCCTGGAACTGGAGTTACAGGTGGTTGTGAACTACCGTGTAGGCGCTGGGAACTAAGCCCAGGCATCATACAAATCAACACACGCTGTTAACTGCTGAGCCATCTCTCAAGCTCCTAAGGCAGTTATATTTAAATTTTTTTATTATATTCATTCATTCATTCATTAATTCATTCTTGTGTGCATGTGTGTGGACAGTGCATATGCAGCATGAGTGTAGAGGTCAGAAGACAGCTGAGAGTTGGTCTTTTTCTTCCACCATCTGGTACCCAGGGATCAGACTCAGGTCATGAGGTTTGATGGCAAGTGCTGTTTTTCCTGCTGAGCCATCTTTCTAGTCTCCCGACTCTTTAAAATTTCTTCAGTATAAGTTTTTATTGTAATCCTTAAAGAAATTTTGCTTTTCTTTAAACAGACTCTCGTTCTGTAGCCCAGACTTGCCTGTAATTCATTGAATAGCCCAGGCTGCTGTGATTTGTTTGACCAGTGCTTAGCATTGTGTATTTAGGGAGTGTCTAACTGTGGGGTTTCTTAATTCACCTACTTGCTGCCAGAGCTTTTTTCACATTAGTTTTGGATTGGCTCCTTCCTATCTGTGTTTGTCTTTTCCAAGCAAGTGTGATACCCAAATTAATGTGTGCTGAGCAAATTAAGTGCTTTACTCTTATCTGTTCATCACTGTAGGGAACTAGTTGTTTATTAATTTGGACAGAATACCTGGGATTCTGTCCTGGTTCTTTTACCTTTTGATCATAAATGTGAAGTTGATTCACTTCATAAACCTCAGTCTTCTCATTTGAAGAATGAGGATAAGAAGAGAAACGCTAGCTAAGGATGCCATACGTATCATATGTGAAGTTTCTGTCATTGTAGATATTTGAGCATATAGAACGTATATGACATACATATATTCATGCATGTAGATACTGAATATATGCCAATGCTGCTGCAAACAGGACTTGGGTTATAATAAAACCTTTTGCATGATTGTGATTAAATACTATGTTCTGCTTTAAAACCAATAGTTGGTGGGGTGGGAGAGCGGGAGCCCTTGCTCAGTGATTAAAAGCTCTGATGCTCTTCCATAGGACCTGAAGGTTCAGTTATCGGCACCCACATGGCAATGTGCAATTGTCTATAACTCCAGTTCCAGAGGATCTCGTGGTCTCTTCTTGCCTGTTTAGTCATTGCACATATATGCAGGCAAAACACCCATATATGTAAAATAAAAATATTAAAAAAACAAATAAATGGAATCTCTGAGATGTTTCAAGGATATTTCATGTGTTACTCCTAAGCAATGTGGGTTTAGGAGAGGAAGTGGTGACTATGGTGGATAGATAAGATGGCCTGTTTTCGGCCTCCACAGTTGTCTCAGGCACAGGTGCTAAGTAGGAGTCCTGGCTAGAGTTTGGTGCTACATGTGTTCAATGGTCCTCTCCTTAGGAAAGTTCCAGGCAGGAGGCGACTGCAGCTGGACATTGAGTCAGCCTTTCCTGTGTGAGGGCCTTTATTTCCCTGTCACACTGGCTGCTCATTTCTGGAAAAGGGAACTTTGCTGCCTGACATGGGCTTCCTGCTTTCTGGAAGGGGCGGAAATTCTCTGTCGGAAGCAAGAGACAGAGCTTACTTCCTTTCAGACTTGAGTGAGGAGTGCTGGGAAGAGATTATCGTTGAGGAATTATTAAACACTAACGTGTTCTCAAGTCTTTTCTGACTTTTATTATTTTTTTTTAAGAGAAATAAGTTCTAATGACCTTTTAAATCAAAATGTATTTATTTGGTAGCATACCTTGAAAAAGAAAGTATTGAAATTTAATGTGAAATAATTTAATATTTCCTCATTGTTCCCTTCTATGGGGTTTTATTTAATAAAACCTCAAATTTGGGGTAATGATTTGTTGTTCTAATGATTTGTTTGTTCTTAAAATGCCTATTTTTATTTTTGGAAGGTAGTTTACAATTTCATTGTGAATGATGAAAATATGTTACAAACAAAAATCTATTATAATTGCTGGAGTTTTAATAATATGAGTCCAAGAAACGTACTGAGAGTATACACATTTTTCTAGGTACATGTATGTGTGTTTGTGTTTTGCACGTATGGGTACACATATATTCTTTATAGAAAATACACAGGGCGGTACAGATTAGTCTCCAGGAACAGACTCCAGGGCTTGGCCAGGTTAGGTGTTATCTGAGCAGTTGACTATGACTATGAAACCATCCATGTTATTCCTGTTCCCACGTTTCTTTCTTTCTTTCTTTTTTTTTTTGTTCTTTTGTCTTTTTATTTATTTTCATTTGTCTTATTTATTTTTGTCTTTTTATTTATTCTTCTGTCTTTTTATCCTCCCAACTCAAGTACATATATTCTTCAGATCATTCAAGTCAGCATCATCTTACTTGTAGGGATAATGCTGGAGAAACATTTATTCAGCACAGATCTTTAAAGTGGATGATTTTCCTTATCTATTGAATCTTGTAAAGTAGCTGTCTTCTATTCCATTTACATTTCCCTGAGATCACCTGTTTGCGCATGACATTTTTTTTAAACCACAAATATTGTAGGAATAATGAATGCTTCAACACTGCATTGAATGCAACAAACAAATGAAAGTGTAAGCTAGAGAGAAGCTGGATTAGCTCTTTATTGATTAGGAACCTGATTAAGCACCGGCTTTGACTTTTAAAGACAATATTTGGAGAGAATGCCTGTCTTAGTCATTTTCTAATTGTTACAAATAACAGTTAACTATGGCCAAGGGAAATTATAAAAGTAAAGTGATCACTCTGGGGCTCACGGTTTCAGAGAGTTCTGGTCTATGACCATGATGGTGAGGAGCATGGAAGCAACCAGGCAGCCAGGCTGGAGCAGTAGCTAAGAGCTCACATCTTGAGACAACCCTGAGGCAGAGCGAGCTACCTGGTAATGGTACAGGCTTTTGAAACCTCTAAGTCCATAACACATCTCCTCCACATCTCCTCCTAATTGTTCCCAAACAGTTCCACCAACTAGGATGTGTGAGCACACAGGGGCCATTCTCACTCAAATCTCCTTACCACCTATTAGTAGTCAGAGCTTTTCATAGTTTACGTCATCCTCCAAAGGAGCCAAGGTAGACAGGTCACAGTCATGTACTTGGAGGTCACAGGGCGGTATCAGACCAGCTATAATTATGCCCTTGGCAGACACCTGTGACCTGCAGTGTACAGAAGAGAGAGAGTAGTGAGTAGACGAGGGGTCCTATCCTGCTGCCTTCACTGATGCTCCTTGCACGGATGAGGAAGGTATAGATAGCACCAGTGCTTGCTCAGCCCACAGCAGAGGTTACTTACTTCCGGCAAGGATGTTGCAGACATCTTCAAAGACTTCTAGTGACTTCAGATTGAGGTGCTGGGTGACCAGATCCAGGCATTGGCATGTGCTAGGCTTGTGTCCTACTCACTGAGCTTCTTCCCCAGCAACTCCCTAACATTTTATGAACAGGTAGATAGTAATTTGTTTGGTGAACAAGAGTGGACATGCATCCCAGGCAACGAGTGCAGAGCATGTTTTGCCCTTCTACGATATAGAACCAAGAGAGGTGATGAGAGAGAAATGAGGCCTGTTTTGCAGTATACTCTCATTCCTAACACAAAGATGATCTGTGCACTAATGTTCTTTTGCGTCTGGTGATGTGGACCAAATCAAGCCTCTGGGCGTCTATTTCACACCTCTTCTTTGTCTGGCCACTTCTGTTCAAGTGTGATATGTTCCTGATACATATGAATTTTGGAGGGCAGGGCACAGTTTTTGTACTGAAATGACTAAGTAAAGGATGTCAGTGTGTGAGAATCTATAGAATTTTTAAGGATACTTCATTGATGCAACAACTTGTATCATGCCTACTGTGCATGGGCTCTCTTTCTGTGGGGCACAGAATCCCTATTTTGCTTTCATCATTCAGAAACAAATGACTAGCACATCATTAGCAGTAGGAAGAAATCACCGAACTGTGTTTATTTTAGTTTTTGATTTGCAAATCAGGGGATGTGTATTCATTTATTTAAGAAAAAACTTTTGTTAATGCCTGTTTGTTTGTTTGTTTGTTTGTTTAGGAATCTCCCTTTCAGGTTTTCGGGTGGAGATTGCAGATGGTGTGAAGCTTCACCTGTTAGATGACGTCAGCAGTTGGGAAGCTGGAGACCAAATTGTGGTTGCAAGCACAGACTACTCCATGTACCAAGCAGAGGAGTTTACCCTTCTCCCCTGCCCTGAGTGCAGCCGTTTTCAGGTCAAAGTTAAAGGTATCGCACTACTCACTGTTCTTCAGAAACACACTCTTTCTTGGCATTCGATTCCTGCAGTCTTTTCTCCAGATCACTCCCTTATCAGCGTGGACACAGCTGAGGGTCTTAGTGGGGAGAGCACTGGACGCTAGATTCCAGAGGGTGGTGCACAGAAAGCTATCCTCCCAGGCAGTGGTCCTGCTACTAGTGAGCCCTGACAGGTGGTTAGTGCTCCTCTATCTCTATTTCCTTGTTAAAGGAAAAGGTGAGGACTAGGCAAACTGGTTTCCTAAAATCCACTCTAGTTTCTTACTAATTTTTTAGTGTCAGATAATAGTAAACTTGCCTAACAACTAATAGTTTTTTGTTTTTTTTTTAAATCTTATTCTCTTATAAGTAAAGAAAGTATTTTTTTAGTTCCTACATGCTTGGCTAATAAAAGGGATCTTTAGTCATATTTAAAATAGAACCGAATAAGGTACTTTCATTAGACTTTATCTTCTCCTGTATTGATGAGGTATGCAGGTTTTGGAACAGAGCAGCTCCTAGAGCCTCTTACTATGAGCTGTGACAGGAGAGAGTGGCTGCCATCTGCCAGGTACTCATGTCTGCCCCCAGCTCTGCTCACTGGTCCTACCTAAAGCCCCTACGTGTTTTCCCTGTGGGCTTCAGCACACCATTTCATTCACATTGCTTTCTTGTTCTTGTGCTCTGATTATACTGTACTGCCAAGAATGAAGAGCTACACTCTTCAAGAAGTACTTGCTTATTTTTGAGTAAAGAATGTTGAAGCTTCAATTTTTTGTGCTTTAGTAGAATGTTAAGTAGAACACTTAGCTTAGAGTTGATATTTTCCCCCTTTATTCAGCTTTCTACTTTTCTTTCTTTTGCCAATAGCAGGCATATGCAAAAATAAATAAATAAACAAACAAACAAAAAGGAAAATCCCAAGTTACAATGATACCATCCATCATTACTATCGGTGGAAAGTCCCACTCTCCTTCCTTCCTGAGTTTAACAGAAAAACATCCGAGGGAGAAAATAAACTGCTTTTAAGCTGCTTGTAAGCTTCCAGGAAAGGTAGACATTTAAAAGAGAGTAAGCAGTAGCTGGGGGGGTGGTGGGGGTGATGCATGCCTTTAATCTCAGCACTGGCAAGCAGAGGCAGACAGATCTCTGTGAACTTGAGGCCAACCTGGGTACAAAGTGTTTCAGGACATCCAGGACTCCACAGAGAAACCCTATCTCAAAAAACAAAACCGAAACCAACCAAACAACAACAAAAGGACAGTAATCGGGAAGGAAAAGATGAAATTTCCATTGGTTAGTGTGCAGATGTTGATCACTTACTTTGAAATAGAAGCCCAATGTGACACACCATAACAAGAGCTGAAAATGCATTTGTTTCTAAGACTTTCTGGCATTTGGTTCTTCATATGTCTATGGGGTGGCTGCAGAATGAGGCCAAGAACAAGCGAGAAAGTGTTAGGCAACTCCCAGGTGTTTAGAGTCAACTATGGAAGGACACTAAGGAGGGTGTTTCGAGCTCTCTGACCCTTTGACCCCGCCTGGGGATGAGATGAGCAGCAGGAGGTGAGGCTGTGGGTGGACAGTTAGAATAGACAGTCTTTAAGATCCCTGCTTCTGGGAGTCTGTTATCCTGAGGTGTTAGATGATGTCGTGAGATTGGTCAGTGAGGAAGAATGCCCTTATGGATGGTTTCATACTTTCTTCTCTTTGTTCTCACATTATCCTTCCTTTATCCATATCACCAGAGACCCCCCAGTTCCTGCATGTCGGTGAGATCATAGATGGGATAGACATGAGAGCTGAGATTGGAATTCTCACCCGGAACATTGTAATACAAGGAGAAATGGAGGATTCATGCTATGCTGAAAATCAATGCCAGTTCTTCGATTATGACACTTTCGGGGGACATGTCATGGTGGGCAAAAGGATTTGATGATTTCTTTGAAATCTAGTTTTTAAGTTGCTAGTTTTTAAGTTGCTAAGGAACTTTTTATGGCAGAATTAGGTGTGTGTGTATGTATGTATGTTATCTGTATTTATATGGATGTTGAAAAGAAGACATAGTATTTTTTTTTAAATATAAAAAATGTGTTAAAAAAAAAACTAAAAGAGAGCAAGGTGTGATGGTATACACCTATAATCCCAGAACTCCGGAGGCTGAATTAGCAGCATCAAGGATTTCAAGGCTAGCTTTGACTACTGTATTGGGCTGGGATGTGTGTGGCCCTGTCTCACACACACAAATAAGAAGAAAGTTGTGCTTTTAGGTAGCTTGGATTGTAGTTCATCCATTTAAGAATTATTCTGTGATAAATTATTAACTCGATACACCAGGAAGAACCTAGTCACACAGAGAGTACCATGATGACTTTGATATCCATGCTTGCAGTTTCTTAGGATCTCTTGGCTACTGCAGAACCCAATAGTACCAAAGGGTAGACAGTACTGGTATGCACAATCCAAATCTGATTCGATAAAAATTACTGTGTCTAGAATTTTATCCTGGACAGTAAGGAGCAGTTACCGTATGGTTGGTGGTATTCTCTGTACCCAGTTATTGGGTCTGATCCACAGAATGTCTGAGATCTCTTTTTGTGTTGGGTGGCCTTTGGTTGTTAGCTATGCTTCAGAAATGCTGGTGTGGCATTCCTGCTTTATTTTCAGTTATGTGATTGAAAAACCCAGTGCTTGAAGAGAGTGTTCCAACCTTGTATCACAGGGATTTCCTCCCCCCTCCCCCCATAGGAGAATTTTTAAAGAGCACTTTCACAGAATAAACACTGGTAAGGATTTAGAAATAAGTAGCTATCCAGCTGTGCTGGAGGGCATAGAAACAAAAGACTCTGAATTACCAAAATGTAGACAGCCTCTGACCTGATTTAATAATTATCTTGGCTTCATTATGCTGCAAAAGTAGTGTGTACCATATAGCAAAGTTAGAATTTTGGTCTTTTTTACTGTGGAGGATGGTCTGTGGTTATGGTGCATCTTCAGATTCTGATATTTTTAGTTTAGCAGTAATTTTATGATGCTGTAGCCTTATTTACATTGTTGAGTCTTATCCATATTTGAACGAAACAAAGCCAGGATGACAGGCTGAGGTAGGTGGATTCCTATCAGGATGACAAGGAGGCCGGCTTGAGCTACATACTGAGGACCAGGCCAGCCAGGGCTGCATAGCAAGGCCTTGTCTGACAAACAAAACGAAACAAACCCAGTCCTCCCCCTTAACTCCCTACTCTACCTTGTTTTCCCATCCCCCAAATCCAGTTTGTGGTTTTCCTTGTTTCATATTTATTTATGATAAGAAGTTAGTGCCCTGGCTCTTTGAAACATGTGTCTATATAAAGAAGCATTTACTATTGTTTCCCCCTTTTTTGCAGTGCTGGGAATCAAACTGGGCGGCCTCACACAAGCCAATCAAACACTATTAGTGAGCTACAGCTCTAGCCCCCAAAGTGCTGAATTATTAAGTGAGGCTCGGCTAAAACACAAAAAAAGAAATGTTCTTATTTTATTGGTATGTTTGTGTGTGGGTGAAGGTGCATGTATATGCGCGCGCGCGCGCGTGTGTGTGTGTGTGTGTGTGTGTGTGTGTGTGTGTGTGTATGTATGTATGTATGTGTGCGCACGTGTTGCATGTATGTGGAGGTCAGAAGTCATCCTTGAGGGTTGTCCCTCAGGAGTTGTCCACGTTGACTTTGAGACAGGATCTCATTGGGACCTAAGACTGACCAGTTAGGCTAGACTGGCTGGCCAGCGGCCCCACGAATCTGTCTGTATCTGCCTCTTCAGGACTGGGATCACAGACATGGACTTCCCTCCCTTAGCTCTTCACGTGGGGCTGTAGATTGGGGTCTAGTCCTTATGTTCGCACAGCAGACATTTCATCAATCCATCCATCTCCCCCACTCCCACAATGCTGTTTGTTGCATGTTTTCCCCGCAGACACCTTCTGCTTTGGTAACATCGTCACTTCTCTCCTGTCCTGTAGATAGAGAAGAACTTTACTTCAGTCCATCTTTCCTATGTGGAACTGAAGCACATGGGCCAGCAGCAGCTGGGACGCTATCCTGTGCATTTTCACTTGTGTGGAGACGTGGACTCTAAAGGAGGATACAGACAGCCGGCGTCTGTGGATGGCCTTTCTATCCATCACAGCTTCTCACGGTGCATCACCGTGCATGGGACCAATGGCTTGCTAGTAAGTAGCCCCACACTGTGCTGACCTGCAGCAGATGTCACCGAGATGTTTGCTCTCCTTCATTCTCATGACTCCTCCGTGTTGCACTGTTTGATCACACGCTGTGCTTAACCTGCTCATACTGAAGATTCCAGTCTTCTGTCTGTGGAAACCTAGTCTTTTTTTAATCATCTAAATTATGTTATGATCACTTCTCACAGAAACTTCGAGCAGCCTTGTGTCCGGTGACCTTATGCTCTTACATTTCTGCAGATCAAAGACACCATTGGGTTCGACACACTAGGGCATTGCTTCTTTCTGGAAGACGGTATTGAACAGAGAAATGTCTTGTTCCATAACCTGGGGCTTCTGACCAAGCCAGGCACTCTGCTCCCCACGGACAGGAACAGCTCCATGTGCACCATGATGCGTGATGGGGTGTTTGGAAACTACGTCCCTGTGCCCACTGCAGACTGTATGTGAGTAACTAGTGGACATGGGGAGCTGTGTGGTGGTCAAGGCTTTTGACTTTTTGGAAACCATGGGACTAACTTCTAATGAGAAATAAATATGAAACAAAGAAAATCACAGATTGGATTTTGGGGGCAGAAGAACAGGGTAGGGTAGGGAGTTAAGGGGGAGGACTGGGTTTGTTTCATTCTGTTTCTCAGACAAGGTCTTGCTGTACAGCCCTGGCTGTCCTGGTCCACAGGGTGTAGCTCAGGCTAGCCCTATTGTCATCCTGATAGGAATCTACCTACTTCAGCCTTGCAAGTCTTGGGAGGACAGGTGTGCATCCCTACACCTGGCTGTGTTTAAAAGGTTGACAGGTTTTTGTTTGTTTGTTTGTGTGTGTGTGTGTATGTGTGTGTGTGAAGAATGATTTAAGTCACCTTCAACACTGCCTTGCAGGGCCGTTTCCACTTTCTGGATTGCCCACCCCAACAACCATCTGATCAACAATGCAGCTGCAGGCTCACAGGTAAACCACACTTTTTTGGGGATCCTCACGCTTGTGACGACTCTGGCTTACATGGGTGTGATGTCATGCGTGCCCTGAAGCCTAAGCATGCTACTGTTTTCTGGTACTGCTTGCCTCATTGAGAGCAGGAGGTAACGGAGATAGATGGTTCTGGTAAAGCCTTGCCAGTTAAGTGCCGTGAGTGTAGACAGACAGCCAATGATGGAGCAGAGGTGAGCCGTCTCTAGGATAATGCTGTCATCGGGATGGATTATTAGTGTGTGCTGTATGACCTTTCTGGCTTCTCATGTTTATATCTTTGGATAAGCAACACATCAATTCCATCTCTCATGCTGAAGAACGAGGAAAGGTTTTCCATGTCTTTATGGAAATGAGTCAGTGTGTAGAATACTGTGTCATTCTGGCCAAGGACCACATCTTTTTTTTAAGAGCAGGGATTAGTTACATTTAGGGACACCTTGATAAAGCAGCTAAAACCTCAGTTAACATTCAGTTAGCTTTTATTATACTATGTTTTTAAAATTCTGATGTTCTTATGTTATCACTAGTATGTATAGGAGGAAACACAGTACAACTAAAATTTGGTACACAGGAAGTTTGAAGCACCCATGATACCCTCTGTGAGTAAAGAGAGAATTTGCAAAATGCCTCTCACCTAACATATAGAGACACAAATCATCACTGTGTTACATACCCTCTCCAGAGGAAGTCTATGGCAGTCAGTCCAGCTCTGTAGAGCTGCCAACATGTCTTTTTTTTTTAATTTAATTTTTATTTTTTTACAATTTATTTTATACCTAGATTGTAGTCTCCTCCCTCATCTCTTCTTGGTCCCACCTTCCCTCCCTCTTCCTGCCTAGCCCCTTCCCCTATTCTATTGAGAGGGGGAGTCCTCCTCCCCTGCCATCTGACCCTAGCTTATCAGGTCTCTTATCAGGATCCTCTTTTTCTGTTGTAAGACAGGCAAATAGGCATATAAACACACAGGAGAACAGTTTCTAAGAGAAACAAACAGTTTATTTTTAAGTGATAGAAATTGTCTTATGGATAAATATGGGGTAATTTTTTCTTAAAGTTGAGCATAGTTCAAAATTATTGATTTATATATATGAATTTTTAATGATGCTATCAAGAGTGTAACTATGTTGAAAATTACAGTGCAGGTCTGTGAACACACAGTAACCTGAATAGCTATATATACGTATCACAGTTGTTCAAAGAAGGTCAGAGATGTGTAATATGATTTCTGAGAAATATGTAAGAGGAGACCTGAAGCGAGCATTTCCTTAAGGAAACCAAAACACAGGCACCCTTGGGTAACCATTGAATCTACACCTGTGATTGTCCTTAAAACATGAAACATAGCTTGAAGGACTCTGACATTTGAAGATTGCCATTTGACTGGGCAGACAATGGACATGGGATGATTTAGATTTCTATTCACTTGTTCTTCCTTGAGTATCTAAGGAGCTTGTGTGGCTTTATTTTCACCATTTCTTATTGGAAGGTTAGGACAGAGAGGCAAGCCAGGAGTCAGAACACTGCTTCCCCTTTGCTTTGCCAGAAGCTCAGACTACAGAGAATAGACGCTAATAGTCCCTAAAAGGTTAGGGCAGTGTTATGAGATGCCCTTCCAGTTTTGAGCAAGAATACTGAATGTTTCTCATGCATGGTCTTCTGGTCATTCTTGAAGTTTTTCTCTTTTCTCTAGAAAACCTGCTTCAGTCAAATTAGCATTTGTTAGGACAGAGAGGCAAGCCTGCAACACTGCTTGCTGCTGCTGCTGCTACTTCCCAGAGTAGGCAAAGCTGTTTTCATTGTACCGAGGCATTGCCATTTATGATGCTGCCCTTACCTGATTAGACGTGACAGTGCCTGACAGCGCCTGACAGTGGACAGCTGCTGTGTTCCCGTGCGCCCCCATCCTTCATCATCGTGACATCTTGGGAGGGCTGGCTCTGCCCTCTGCTTGCAGGGGTGTGGTGTCAAGCCTTCCCCAGCCCCTTTATGTTTTCTTCTGCTGTCTGAATTGCATCCAAAAGGTTGAGGTGGCCAACGGTTTTTTCAGAATAGTTTGTTTTATGAAGACCCGTTTGTAAACTTTGATCATGGAAAAATGTTGACATTACAGTTATTTGGGTGTGTAGGCATGTCCACTTTGCATGCTCCGTGTCTCCTCTGTGTCCCTAAAGGATTTGAGTAACAGCTAACAGGGTATGTCATATTTTAATTATCTTTTTACCCATTAGACCATGATTATGTGACAGTAGTCATACTCCACAAAGTATGTATCAGGCACTGTATAAACACATGCTGACTTTGAACCAATTCATATTTTCACACTGCATGTCCCAGTTTTAAAAGGCTGCTTTATCAACATTCCATAGTGTGAAGCTGTCCTTCACATTGAGCTAATTATTAATTCAGTTACAAAATAAAAAATGGGAATGGAGTCAAGGACTTTTACTTCTGTTTTCCTGTCTCAAGTTATGTCAGAAACTTCTGAACTGTTCTGTCCTGTGAGGGCCAGGAGTCCTGCAGGCGAACAGACAGGGTCCACACTGAGAGACAGCACCCTGATTCATACATGTGGTGTTCCCACCCCCACCACACACACTTTGGCACAAACTTGCCTGAGAACAGGAAGGGCATTGGAGTTGTTTGAAAGAAGCCAGTGAGCTCTGTCTGCCAGCAGACAGTTGTTTAATAGGCATGACTCATCTATTGATCAGGTTTGGAGGTAAACATGAAAAACCATATTGCCTAAAGTCTGTGCTGTCCTGGTCACACAGAAGGCAAGCAGGGCTCTCTGTCTGCATATCATTTCAGACTATGTAATGATGGGAAAGCTGGGTTTGTGTATTTGCCAGCTATGTCTTTTGTCCAATCCTGTAAGCGAAATTGTATTTGCTTTGAAAAATAACCAGATGTAATTGCTTGGGGGATGCCATATTACATGGGCAACTTTTTGCATTCAATTCTGAACTTCAAAACAATGGAAAACATTTGTTGCAGAGTGTTTTATGAGAGAGTTTCACATGGTGGCTTCATAAAAACTGAGGCTTTATATACATGAAAGTCAATGCTGCGTATTTTCTCTCATATTCAGAATCTGGATGTAATACAAATATATGTATATATGACATGAAATTAAGAGGGGGATCAAAGGAGTTGGGAAGAGGGAATCTATTGTGGGAAGAAGGAAGTGGGGACAAGGAAGGGAAACAGGAAAGAAAAATACTACACATTAAAGAATCTGGATTGTACTTATATATATATGTGTGTCTGTGTATACTATCCAAGCAGAGGATAAATGTTCATGGGGGAAAATGGGGATGAGGAGGAGCTTCGGGGAGGTGGATGGGATAAATATGAGTGAGGCATAGTGATATATATGTATGAAAATGTAATAACGAAACCTGTTTTTTGTACATTAAAAAAATAGTGTTTTTAATGCCCTTGCCCTTTCACTTGCAGGATGCTGGAATATGGTATTTATTCCACAAGGAACCAACTGGGGAATCCAGTGGGTTGCAACTCCTGGAGAAACCAGAACTCACTCCACTGGGAATATTTTATAACAACAGGGTTCATTCCAATTTTAAGGTAGGCTCTGAATGAAGTGCCTATAGATACACAGGGTGGGTTTGACTATTGTGCCCATCCTTCATCCTCTTTGTGTTGCTGTGACAGAGGAGTATTTTGTGATGAGCAGATCAGGGTTCTGGTGGCTGGTACCCCTAGTCTAGGGCCAACATCTGGCAAGGGCTGGTCTAATTACATTATCCCAAGGCACAACATACACTTGCTTGTGTGTGTATGATCTGTTTAAATCTATCATAGACTTGATGGTCAAGCCTCATCTGTCTTGTTCTTGCTGCCCACCTGCCCACCTGTCTGCCCTCCTTTCCTCTTCCTCGCCCTCCTGTCTTCAGTGTCAGGTTTCTGGGATCATGCATGTTAGAGGATATGTGTCTGGGTAGGACTCCTGCTTTACTTCCCTGCTTTTCTCCACAGTGCTGGTTGAATACCCTTTGGCCATTTACTACTACCAAGTATTTAAATGGTGAAATACTGTTTAAGAACATTTCCCTTAATTTAAGTCACCTAAAGGTCATTCAGAGACTACAGTTTCTGTGGTATTTGTCACTCACCCCGCCCTTCCATCATGATGAATATTTTTGGTTCATTTCCTTCTCACAAGTCTCTTTAATTTTTCTATTGTATATGTAATCATTTGATCTTTTCCTGTGATATGACTCAAATCAGACTTTGGTTAACAGTTCCATGCATGACCATCAAAGGAGCCTTTGAAAACCTAAGTGTTGCGGCTATAGAGATGGTTTAGAAGGCAAGATGCTTGTTATGCAAGCATGGGGACCTGAGTTAGGATCCAAGCACCTGTGCAAGAAGCTGGATATGGCTGTGTCCTCCTGAAACTCTAGAGTCATTTCAGGCAGAGACAGGGCTTCCTGGGGCTTGCTGGCTATTAGCCTAGTTCTAGGTTCAACGAGAGATCCTGCCTCAAAAGAACATGGTGAGGAATGATAGACAGGACAGCTGATGTGTTCTCCGACCTCCATGCTGTGCATACAGGTTCATACACCCCACACTCAAACATGCAAATCCGAGTGTTAGGAAAGGTTTCGAATTACTTGAACTGAGAGAAGAAAAATGTGAGTGCCATGAAATGGGTAATCAACTAAGGCTAATATTTGGAAAGCAGCATCTCAAAGGGAAAAAAAAAAATCTTCAATTTTTAAAAATTCTATTTGTGATATAAAAACTATCTTGAATTAAGTTTTGCTGTCATACGCTATGAACATATTCACTTATCTCATTAATTATAAGAGTATTACAAGGTAAAATAAGGTTTAAATCTGTTAAAATTGGGAATGATTATACAGAGTATTTTGAACCTAAAGGAAATTGAACCTTTTTTGGGATCACTCGTCACACAAATGCACACTTGACCAATCTCTGCAGCTTTCTTGTTGAGGCTTCCTGAGTCTTCATCTAGCCCAGGTCAGCCATGTTCAAGTGGCTGCTTACTGAGTTAAACTTCAGTGTTTTATGGAGACATTAAAAACATCCAAAATGAAAATCCTTCCTTTTATGCTTGCCCCGCTTTTCTATTTCTACTTTAGTAGATTAGGCAATTGGTTAATTCCATGTTTTACGTAATCAAACAATCTAAGCTTCTCTTTTGGCCCCAGATATTTTATCAGTTATACCTTACCATCACTCTCACCTTGCCAGAACACTGACTCATTTCATTTTGTTTCTGAATGATTGATAGCATCTCCTACTTCATGTATTCTGCCCAGTTCAATCCATCTTTAGTTGCAGTATTTTTTTTCTTCTTTATAGTATTGCTTTTGAAGCTTTTTTTCAGACCCCCATGTCTTATATCTTCAGCAAACATTTAAAAAGTTATATTTATGTTATGGAAACTATCTCTAATTAATTCTTGGCATCATATGTCATGATAACACACACTTATCTCAATAGCTGTAAGAAAATTAAATCTGAAAGTATTAATCTGCATGGCCTGACGTGTGCTCATCCCTTCTCTACCCCCTCCCTTATTCTTGTTAATCTATTCAGAACTTGTTCACAAATATTGCATGCGGACTCTCCCCCCTAGACTCTTTTGGTATAGACTCCTCCTGTGAGTACTATTCTCTGGCATCTTCAACTGCTTCATGCTCACCCCTAACCCATTCTGCTCTGTCAAATCCTACCCATTCTGATGATTTTGGCATCATGTAGGACACATGTCTGGAATCTTTCCCCAGTCCCGAGGAAGCTTCATCTCAGTGCCTTTTTGCCACTGGTGTCTCCTGCTTCCCTGTTCTCATGCTGTGCTTGTTGTATTGGACTGTAGCTGTTTAATTGCATGCTTCCCCTTACAGTGTATATCAGTAAGAGCAGGGGATGTATTTTACTTGCTAATTAACACGTAAACCACTAAGCATATAAATAAATAAATGTTTGTTGGATGTCCAAATGGAGAAGCTACAAATATCCAGGAAAACTGTTGCTTTTCACGGGACCTATGCTTTATGATTCCCCTGCTTCCAGCCCCATTCCCAGCTTTAGGTAAAATGATAAGCTGAAAAGTATTTTCACATCTCGCTATGCATGTGGATATACGTTAGGATCTGTGTTCATTTTAGCTCATTGTTGTGTATTTCAGGCTGGTTTATTTGTTGATAAAGGCGTCAAAACAACCAACTCCAGTGCCTCCGACCCAAGGGAGTACCTCTGCTTGGATAACAGTGCAAGGTAAGGCTGCCTCTTGAGTTTACATTCAAGCTTATCTTCCCAGGGCAGAACATTCAGATTCAAGTGCATGGTGTTCTTTTTGATGGCAACACATGCAGAGGAAGTTCTGAAAACGCATATCAGAGTCCTTGGAAATCTCTCTGTTGTCTTAGTCCTAAGCCTAGGCACTTATCTTTCTGAAATGCCAAGCAAGTTGATGCCTTGCTCCTCTTTCACAGTGGAAATTCACGTAAGAGGGAGCTTGAGGAGAAACAGAAAGAGAAGAGAGGGGTTAACCAAAGGTTTCAGATTTGAGAAAAAGACTGACTCATGAAAAACAAGTCAATCCCTCAAACCTAAGCATATAGAGTATGGTGAGTGCTCTAATGTGATATTGCACCGCTTTGTTTCAGGGGAATGATCCCAGAGTTGAGCATCAAGCTGCCTCTGGTTTTCATTTCATTTCCTGGTAGCCTCGGGTTAGCCTCTCGGCAGACTGTGTCACTGTCCCATGTAACCACATAATATGTTTGGGATGTGGGTCGGGGTTGCAGCTCTCTCCTGGGCTGCATGCCAGCCAAAGTAAGCAGCATGTCTCGTGGAAATAAAGTGCTCTGGGTAATGTGGCAACCTGACGTCATATTCAGTGGAAACTACAGACATACTGTTTTTCTATACTTCATATTTGCTGACCAGATTATGAGGTTGAATGGGTGATAGTTTTGCAAAGGCTTTTGCTAGACATTTGAAAGAAGAATGACGGGCCCAGTTGTTAAGAGAATAGAGCAGGAGCCACACTGGAGATGGATGAATCTGACTTAATGTTCAAGGCAGGATTCTTGCCATACATTACTAAGATGTGAGGTCAGGAGAAAACTGGGAAAGTCCGCTTGGTGAATCATGCATCAAGATTCCTCAAATGAAACCTTTGAGAACAGTGATCAGGGAAAATTTAAGAAGGCCAATAAGGGACCGCCACGTACGTGAAACGCAAAGTTCTGTATGCACCTTGCTGGGTGATCATCCCGAAATAGAGGTAAAAGAGGAAAGCTTAGGAAAAAGGAGCAGATAGATGAGAATGAAATTATGAACCCCAAATATTGGCTGTCCTAGTTTGCTTCCTATTGCTGTGATAAAAACACTGTGACCAAAACAGCTCGAGAAGGAGAGGGTTATTTCAGCTAACAGGTTACATCCACACTGAGGGAAGCAGTGGCAGGTACTTGAGGCAGAAGTGGGAGGAAGTGGAGACCCTAGAGGAATGATGTTGCTTACTGGCTGGGCTCTCTCAGCTTGCTTTCTTACACAGCCTCTTATAGGTTCAGGCTTACCTGCCTAGGGATAGTCCTACCCACAGTGGGCTGGGCCCTCCTACAGCATTTAGCAATCAAGAAAATGCCCCACAGAGACTAGTCTAACCTAGTAAATTCCTCAGTTCAGGCTACTTCTCAGGTTACTCTGCTTTCTATCAGGTTGACAATAAAAACAACCAGCATACTGGCCTAGCCCCTCCCCGCCCAAAATAGCAAAGTTGCTATTGGAAAGTTACCCCTGCTTCTCTGTCTCTCTCTGTGTCTGTGTGTTTGTGTGTGTCTCTGTGTGTGTGTTTGGGTGTTTAAGACTAGTCTCACTGTGGAATTCTGGTGGGTCTAAAACTTACAGGGCGCTGCCTGCCTCTGCATCCCAAGTGTTGGGATTATAGGCAGGTGCCACCAAAGCTGGCCATACCTGCTTTCTAAAAGTCTTTTATGATTGGTAGTTTTAGTGAGACGTGCTTTGTCAACTTGCCAGAAAAATGGTTAAACAATTGGCTCTTTTTTTCTGCCTGTGAAGAATTTCTATGGGTCTGAGGGAGATGGCTCAGCTGGCTCAGTGCTTCCTTCACAAGTGTGAGATGTCAGTTTAGTGACCGACACCCAAAAGCCAGGCTGGGGGAAGGTGGAGATAAGAGGAGCACTGGGGATTGCTGAACAGTCTAGCTGAACCCTCAAGCAATGCTCCGCTGAGAGATCCTGTCTCAAACAGTGAGTGTGAAGCGTGATTGAAGAAAGCAGCTGACAGAAACATCTGGCCTCCACATGCATTTGTTCCTTCACACTTGTGTGCACGTGTGCAGAGGCACATTGTATACTTTATGTGTTTGCAGATATGTCTGTACATGGATGGAGGAGTAGATCTAGTCAAGAAGCTTTTGACATTGTAACTGGACTACCCATTATGACTTCTGAAGTTCTTTACTAGGTGGACAAGTGCACACTTTGAAGATGGTAGCTGTTCCTCATGGGTTCTCTTACCAGTCTTCAAATGCATACATACTGCTAAGGAATTAGACTCTTGTAATTGTAAAGAGCTAATTATAGAAGGAGAATGACAAGACCTTCAGCATCTGTGTATATGTTTCGTTTTGTGTGAACTGGTATGTAGACAAGGCCCCCATGTGTTCATACAACTCAGACATGAGTAAAAATGACAAAACACAAATGAGTAATAAATCAGGCTATGAACCAAACACCAGGCTTGTGGAATCCAGAAGATCATTCTATTCCTCCGAGAGGAAGCTGACTCACTAGTGATCAGTGTCCTTCTGTGTCTTCAAGATGTGCAATAATGGGAATTCAGAGATGGGGATTCTTAAGAGAACTTCATTTTAAAGGGGGGGGGGCATTTCCTAAAGAAATCTTTAAAAGGGGTAGGGTAAGGCATTATAACCACGTAGTACATTTAAATCATGGGAGGTGACTGTATTAGTTACTTTTGTCAGTTCTATGGCCAAATATTTTACAGGAAGCAACTTAACAGGGGGAAGGTTTATGTTTGTTCACAGTTTAAGAAAGGATATCATGGTGGGAAAGGCACAGTGGATGGCATAGTGTGGGCAGCTGGCCACACGGAATCCACAGTCATCACGAAGAGAGAGATGAATGGTGGCGATCAGCTTGCTCTTTTAGTTCCACCCAGGACCCCAGTCTGTGGAATGGTGCCACTGGCATTTAGGACTAACCTAGTCTGGAAACACTCTCACGGACATGCCTGGGCATGTGCTTCTACAATGATTGTAGATTCCATCAAGTTTTCATCAGTATCAGCAACCGAGTGGCTGGAGAGATGGAGAGATGGCTGAGCAGTCAAGGGTGCTTGCTGCTCTTGCAGAGGCCAGGAGCTTCGTTCCCAGCACCCATGCTGGGTCGCTCACAACCACCTGGTCCTCCAGCTCCAGGGGATCCATCTGACTTTCTCTTCTGGCCTCCGTGAACACCTGTGCTTATGGGTTCACACATCCACAGAAACTCACATATACATAAATAAAATAAACATTTAAAAAGCTAACCATTGTGGTGATAAAAATTGGTATGATTAATTATTTTCTTATAATTAAAAAGTACTTTATTGTATTTTGTGTTTGGATATTTTGCCTGTATGTATGTCTGCATACCACCTTTGTGTACCAAAAGAGCTTATCAGATCCCGTAGGGCTAGAATTATAGATTAGTTGTGGGCCACCGCTGGAGCCTGAGAATTGAACCGATGTTCTTGACTGCTGAGCCATTGCTGCAGCCCCTACCTGTGTTTTCTAAATACCAAATGAAAACGCTCAAATTAGAGACACCACTTTGGTGCAAATGATGAGTGAGAAGGTCAGAAGGGATGAGGTGGCCACAGGGGGAGGGGGTCACATGAGGCCTTATATTACCCATGTGTCTTCATTTAGAATAGCAGTCCTCAACCCGTGGGGTTGTGACCCCTTTGGGTGCTTACCTTACACTTGGTAACAGTAGCAAAATTACAGTCATGAAGCAACAAAGAAATGATTTTTTTTTTTTACGTGGGGTCACCACAACATGAGGAACTGTATTATAGGGTGGCAGCATTAGGACATTGAGAACCACTGCTGTAGAACATTACATTTCTCACTTCCAAAGATCTCCCAGTTTGATTTTATGTGACAACTTTATGCAAAACTTTTTAACAGCAAGTGCAATGCCGGCAAAGTTTATATCGGCGTGAAGATTCTTACCACTTCAGTCTGAGGTAGTCAGGGCTCTGGCCTCGGGTAGACATCACGCCCTCATCCCCGATGCCCCCATTCTAGTGTGCACCACCAGCACCTATCAGAAACGCACAAGGAGCCTCTGCATGGTCTTACAGTCCGTTCGCCAAATGTCATCCCAAGATGATCTGTTGGGGTGGGTGGGGATCTGATCCCATGGTTACCTGCCTTCACTGACCTCCCATTGTTTATTGAGTAAAGGGGCACTTGCGTGCCTTGAACCTTTCTGTTTCCCTCCTTCCCACCTCACTTCTCCAGGGGCTTGTAGTGGCTCCTGTAGAATGTGGAGCTTCTATGTCTGAGGCACCCAGGCTGGGTTGTCTTTCCACAAAGGTGCCACTCTCACTGCCATTGTGATCACCTGGTTATAGGCCATGAGATACAGAAGCAACATCGTGCAGAGGGCCCTTCCTGTATAGTTGGAAAACTCAGTGCAGTGAGCTTATTTTGAAACTCTTAATTCTCACTTTAAATGTTTTGTTCTTTTATTCTTTCTCCTATCTTTGTAAGGTGATAGGCTTATGGAATCGAGTTATTATATAATCAGCTTTTGACTTTTTCAATAAGGTCTTTGTAAATGTTGTTGAGTGACGAAAATGAGGAATTCAGTTTTTGTAGTAAGTAATTTAGTTGGTCTTGTAGGTTTAGGCATTTCCAAGCTATTATTGAATTTGGATTTGTCTTTCTAGCTAAAGCTATATAAACAGCATACAATCTAATAACGTAATTCATATAGATTTGCCTTGAGATGTATGATTAATTTTTGCACTGAGTTTATATTAGTAACATGTGACTTAAGAATGTTCAGAAACACATTGGAGTACCTGATGTGCTTTCCTGTACGCATTGTTTACAGGGGCCTTCTCTACATTGACTGTTTAAGAATACACGAAAGCATTTTTGTCTAGGAACTTAAATGTAAATAAATGTAATTGTTTTGAGCATTTGAACTACAAATAATTAAGTTGAATCTTAATATTTTTTTTATTTGTTTACCTTGGTCCAATTTAAACCCTCCTGCTTGACCCATAGCATACAGGGAACAGTTTCCTTTTCTTTTGCCCGCTTCACTTTTTAACAAAGCACTGTGTTCACCCCCCAGGTTTCGGCCTCATCAGGATGCAGACCCTGAAAAGCCACGCGTCGCTGCTGTTATCGATAGGCTCATTGCTTTTAAAAACAATGATAATGGTGCCTGGGTCAGAGGAGGAGACATTGTTGTTCAGAATTCAGCGTGAGTACATGTGTGCAGAGTATCTGCTGACGTTGCTGCTCGTTTTTAAATTTTTTTTTTTTTTTTAAGACAGGGTTTCACATACCTCAGGATAGCCTTGAATTTGTGTAACAAGACCTGAACTTTTGATCTTCTTGTCTCTACCTTCCTTCCAAGTACTATTAGAAGTGAGTGCCACCACAGCTGGTTGGCTTTTTTTTTTTTTTTTTAGTTCCTGGAATCATCATTATTAGTATTAGTATTAGTATTAGTATTAGTATTAGTATTAGTATTA